ATTGTGTGAAGTGGTTTGAGATGTTTCAACAATGTAATACTGCGCTATATCAAATGCAAGGATTATTATTATTACTATGATTATGGCTATCTCATTGCTCATTTTCCCAATACCCAATTCAAGATCACATCATTTTAAAATTTAAGGACGGACAAAAATGGTGCAACATTATTTAATCTACTTTGCCTTTAATTAATCTTCATTCGCAAGCCTGTGGAAAGTCAGCTTCCAAATTAAGACTACTGTATTCACAATTCTCTGTGATCTTCCATTTTAATAATAATAATCTTAGCATCTGATATAGTGCTTTTCACGTACAGTATATACTCTAAAGTGAATTGACTGTATATTTGGGGGCAAAACGCGGCATCCAATTGCACACAGCAGTGTCCTACAAACAGTCATGGATTGAAGTGACCAATTTTATTATTTTTTTCTTGAGGGATTATCAGACGTGTGGAGTAACGAAGCTTGCCCAAGGTTTCGCTCTACCAGGAATCAATCCCAAGTCTCTCGCTTGCAAGGCGAGTGGTCTAACCACGAAGCTACAGACTTCTCCACAAAATGACTACAGGAAAGTCAGGAGGTTTCTGAACCATTACACAAAATTATACTGCACAGAAATAGGCCATTTGGCCCAACTAGCCCATGATGGTTTTGTAAGTTCTCACCCTTTTTTGGTTGAACCAGAGCTTCTACAGTGAATCACAGCTTCCGCATTCTTACCACTCTGTGCAAAGAAGTCCCACCTAAACTCTCCTTTAGACCTGCTAAAGTCAAATTTATACTCCTTTACAAACAATATTTTTTCATCTACTCCAGGCAAGTCTAGTCATGTAGTACTGCTTGGAATGGTGCTAGTTTTCTAGCATAAAAATTACCCCTCGCCGAGGAAAAACAGTGTATTAAATGTTGGATTTGAGTATGACAGAGCGGACATGTGTTTATACTTCTCGTGCTGAATACAATGACACGAGTAGAGTGAAAATACAATGTCACAGTGCCCTCGGCAAGAGCATTTTTTCTCGCCTCCATTATTTCTCAAAGAAAGCGGGGTAGGTTTTTGGTAGTAAATGACTTCATGCCTGCCTGGGGAGTCTGACTCTTATATGCACAGCTGTAGTTTCATGTTTTCAACAGAGTTACAATATCAACCGCACACTTTGTTCAATTGCTATGCACACAAATAACACCCACAACAATGAGTAACAATGGGAAGGAAAAAAAGAATAAAAAAGAGATAGGGATATTCAGGGTGGTACCAATGTGCATCATTTTATTGGTGTAAAGGTCACCAATATTTCTGGATCTGTCTCAGTGAACAAGTTTTACAAAGCAGTCAAAGAAGCAAACTAAACAAAAAGCCCCATACTGCACTCATAAACAAGGAAAAACAACAAAAACAACTTGCATTTATAAAACACATCACCCTGCAGGGGAGCATCTCAGAGCACTTCACAGTGGCAGAGCCTGATGCTGAGCCAATGGTGGGTTGAAGGGGGGGGGCGTGAAAATAAACACGGTCGAAGAGGAGGATGGGCAAGGAAGGGGCAAGGCGGAGGGATTGTAGGGGAGTGTTCCAGAGATGCGGGTGTAGTGGCTGAAAGCACAGTCGCTGATAGTGGAACGGAGGGCACAAAGGACAAGACGCATCAACAAGGGCAATAAGCTTGTATTGATTTGGAGTGTATGGATATTCATTGGCCGTTCACCATGAATAGGCTTCCTGTTTTCACCAAGGTGTCACAATCAACAAGAGACTGCATTGTGACACAAAACATTTCACGGTGACATCTGTAATCCACGCTAATAAGGGTTTGCACTTAAAAAATAATATTTAAATCGTTTTACCTCCTTACCTAATATTTTCAGATACCAGGCTGTGGGATACAATATAGGTTTCCATTGCTGTAGCACAGCTCATTCACAGCTATGAATGCAGTGAGTTATCAAACCAGCCTGCTAATGGGTTATACAATTGCACATGGTTCTAGTAATCAACTTACTATGCTATATCTACCGTGGGAATATCACCAACAAGCTCAATGTAAGGGGCCACTGTGGGCCCATGAGGCAGGCGTAAGAGTTTCAATCAGATAAACCATTGTTTTTCATTCCTGCGTAACAAGACACCTTAACAGTTTTGTGTCGTCAGTGTGGTGAGCAAAACAGAAACCACCAGGAATAATCCTGAAATGGATTGAAATTCTGATGCCTTATTTAGCTGGACATTTGCTAGGATGCCTTGACCATGATGATGCTTTTGTGAAAACTGGAGCATAAACTGTGAAACAAGAAATAGGACTGAGAGAAGGGACTTCCTTCCGGATATTTAGTCACTTCACTTTCTTACACACAATCTGTTAGAACAAAAATAGGATGCTTAAGACTTTTTTTCCCCCCCTCAACATCCTTTGAACTTGCACATGCTTTAAAGAGCGTCACTCGAATTGGCGATCGACAATTAGTTTTTTTGGGGGAAAAAAATTCAAATATGTGTTACAGTTTGCAACTCATGTTGCAAAAAACTGTGCAGCGATTGAAATACTGGATTACTACTTGGCCTTGAACTAGTTCCAGCCGGTTTGGCACACAAGAACCATTCTTGCCAGGTCCTTAACTGGCACTTATTAAACAGGATGCATAAAATGTACAGCACATTCAATGGTAACGCAACAAATTGTGGATTGCTAACTAACAGCCCTCAGGTTAGGATTATTGATAAAATATTAGAAGGGGGCATACAAAATGTACACAGTCCGTCTCAAGCATCAACACACCCAGAATATATTGTGCGTACAATAATAATCCTTGCATTTGATATAGCGTCTTATCACGTCGTTGAGACGTCTCAAAGCGCTTGCTTCACTGAATGCACGGTGTATTGTAAAGTGGATTGACTGTGTATTTTGTGGGCGAATGCAGCACATGCAAACCACTGTCTGCTTGTGAAAACCCTTTTTTGTTAAAACTAAAGAAAGCGGGGCAGGGGTCCGGCCAACTCTCACAGGGGTCCGGCCAGCTCTCACAGGGGTCCGGCCAGCTCTCACGGGGGCCCGGCCAGCTCTCACGGGGGCCCGGCCAGCTCTCACCGGGGTCCGGCCAGCTCTCACGGGGGTCCGGCCAGCTCTCACGGGGGTCCGGCCAGCTCTCACGGGGGCCCGGCCAGCTCTCACAGGGGCCCGGCCAGCTCTCACGGGGGTCCGGCCAGCTCTCACGGGGGTCCGGCCAGCTCTCACGGGGGTCCGGCCAGCTCTCACGGGGGTCCGGCCAGCTCTCACGGGGGTCCGGCCAGCTCTCACGGGGGTCCGGCCAGCTCTCACGGGGGTCCGGCCAGCTCTCACGGGGGTCCGGCCAGCTCTCACGGGGGTCCGGCCAGCTCTCACGGGGGTCCGGCCAGCTCTCACGGGGGTCCGGCCAGCTCTCACGGGGGTCCGGCCAGCTCTCACGGGGGTCCGGCCAGCTCTCACAGGGGCAGAGCCTTTGCTGTGTGGAGACACAGGGTGTTTTTGCAGCCTGGTGTGTCCCAGCCCTTCAGCTCTGAGCTGAGCACTAACACCTCCACAGCCACAGACCCAAGTAAGACAGACAAGTGGGTGACTGCATTTGTTTTTCTCGAGCTAGTGAGGAAGTCAGGGATTGCACATTGCACAGTGCAGCTCTAGCACTCCCCCCCCCCCTCCCCCACCCCCACAACACAGGGAGCTACGTCTTTCCTGCGCTCTTAAGATTATCTCAACACCAAAAAGCCTTAAAGGGCTAAAAGCAAAGATAAAGACATTGCAACACAATGCTGCCTCCTTCCTCCTTCCTCCTCTTCTAATAAAAGATAATAATACATTCCGACCCACCAACCACCCGATCGCGAAAGCCCCAAAACCCTGGCGACCAGAAGACGAGGCTGAGAGGCACGAACATGGGACGAGATTCGGCCCATTTCCTGCTCTGGTAACTTCGCTGTTGGTTACATTCTCCCACAGAGACACTGTCACAAACCCGGGGATACAAGCAGCCCCGGACTGGGCTGAGGGGCTGAGGTGGGGCTGAGGGGCTGAGGCTGAGGGGCTGAGCTGAGGGGCTGAGGGGCTGAGGCTGAGGGGCTGAGGTGAGGCTGAGGGGCTGAGGCGCTGAGCTGAGGCTGAGGGGCTGAGGCGCTGAGGCTGAGGGGCTAAGGCTGAGGGGCTGAGGCTGAGGGGCTGAGGCGCTGAGGCTGAGAGGCTGAGGCTGAGGGGCTGAGGCTGAGGGGCTGAGGCGCTGAGGCTGAGGCGCTGAGGCTGAGGGGCTGAGGCGCTGAGGCTGAGGGGCTGAGGGGCTAAGGGGCTGAGGCTGAGGGGCTGAGGCGCTGAGGCTGAGAGGCTGAGGCTGAGGGGCTGAGGGGCTAAGGCTGAGGGGCTGAGGGGCTGAGGCTGAGGGGCTGAGGGGCTGAGGCTGAGGGGCTGAGAGGCTGAGGGCTGAGGGGCTGAGAGGCTGAGGGGCTGAGGCTGAGAGGCTGAGGGCTGAGGCTGAGGGCTGAGGGGCTGAGGCTGAGGGGCTGAGGGCTGAGAGGCTGAGGGGCTGAGGCTGAGGGGCTGAGGGGCTGAAGGGGCTGAGAGGGTGAGGGGCTGAGGCTGAGAGGCTGAGGGGCTGAGGGCTGAGGGCTGAGGGCTGAGAGGCTGAGGGGCTGAGGGGCTGAGGGGCTGAGGGGCTGAGAGGCTGAGGGGCTGAGAGGCTGAGGGGCTGAGGCTGAGGGGCTGAGGCTGAGGCTGTTTCAATGCAATTCTTTCCACCCGATCGCGATGCAAAACCTAAACCACGTTAATAAGATCCCCGAAAAAACCCAAACTCTCTCTCGAGTGTGGGCCCAACACCCCCCACCCCCCCCCACCCCCCACACACACACACCCCAAAAAAAAAGTAAGGGGGAGAAAAGCGAACCCCGATGACATTTGAGACACAAATCAAACCCTCCCCCCGAAAAAACAAACACATAACAGGAGAACAGCTCGACTCCCCTCTCCTACCTGTGCTGCCCACTTGCTCTCGCAATCGTCTCAGTCCTGGTTTCTGTTTCTGGCGCAATAATTTATATAAAGGGGGAGAGAGGGGGAGAAAACACGAGCAATTTCCTTCCTTAGTGCCTCCTCGGGGAGTGAGTTGAAGGTGACCGACTGACTGGGTGGGTGGGTGGGTGGGTGGGAGGGTGACTGGGTGGGTGGCGGGAGGGTGACTGGGTGGGTGGGAGGGTGGGCGGGAGGGTGACTGGGTGGGTGGGAGGTGGGTGGGTGGGTGGGAGGGTGACTGGGTGGGTGGGCGGGAGGGTGACTGGGTGGGAGGGAGGGTGACTGGGTGGGTGGGAGGGTGACTGAGTGGGTGGGTGGGAGGCTGACTGGGTGGGTGGGTGACTGGGTGGGTGGGTGACTGAGTGGGTGGGAGGGTGACTGGGTGGGTGACTGAGTGGGTGGGAGGGTGACTGGGTGGGTGAGGGGGTAAGTAATTGGGTGCAAGTCCTGGTTGAAACCAAATGAAATTGATGTGAAATGGACGCGGCGCCGCCCACCGCGAACGTCAAACTCACCAAAGTAGGAAAACTCCGAACAGAGAGAGTCATGTGTGTGGCTCTGAGCCACAGCCACTGCTTATCACAGCCAAACCGTCTCCGAAAATAGTCCAGGACTTGCAGCCTCAGCGTGGGATTGTCTGTCTGTCTGTCTGTCTGATGGCTATATCCATACAGCAGCTCAAAACACTCAAAGGTGGGTATGGACTTTGTGAATGAAAATAAGACTTGTGATGCCACTGCAAAGTCATACTTTCCAGGACTCACCCTTTTCCCACCAATAACAACAATTGTGCAAGAGCTTTGACATCAGGGAGAGCTGCTCAATCACTTAAAGGTTGGGAACGGGAAGTGAAACAGATTCGCGGAGAGCATTGGTTAGCCGCGCACCTTGGAGCGAAAGCTTAGGCAAGTTTCCTTACTGCACGTGGCTGTTTACGTAGCAGTAAGTAGGATCCCGGTCGTTAAGCGATTGGCAGATTGCTTTCCAGGATTAATAATCCCTCCAACATCCACAAACAGTTGTTTGACATTCTGAACATCTGTGATCAGGGCTCCCCTCTGCCTCCTTGTCCTTCTCGACCTCTCTGCCGCCTTCAACACTGTCGACCACTCCATCCTCATACACCGCCTCTCCTCCTTACTTAATCTTTGCAGACCTGCTCTTGCCTGGTTGGATTCCTATCTTTCTCACCATCTCCACTTTATTCCCTCTAACTGTTTCTCCTCCAGTCCACGCACTGTCATGTGTGGCGTCCCCCAGGGCTCTGTCCTTGGCCCTCTCTCTTTAATATCTACATGCTCCCCCTTGGTGACATCGTCTGCAGACATGGGGTCAATTTCCACATGTATGCGGATGACACCCAACTCTATCTTTCTGTCTCCACCCTCAACTCCAGGACCACTGCTGTCCTGATAGACTGTCTGTCTCCATTGTCTCCCTCTCCTTCAGAGGGTCCAGTTCAAAATCCTGGTCCTCACCTACGAAGCCCTCAATGGTCTCGCCTCACACTATCTTTGTGACCTCCTAACCCCCTAACAACCCGCCCGCTCTGTTGTAAGTTCTCACCCTTCTTTGGTTGAACCACAGCTTCTACAGTGAATCACAGCTTCCACATTCTTACCACTCTGTGCAAAGAAGTCCCACCTCAACTCTCCTTTAGATCTGCTACTGGCTAAGTCAAATTTATATTCCTTCTTTTGAACTCACCATCTTATTAACGTCCACCTTATTGAATCCTTTCATAATCTTAAACATCGCTTTCAGCTTTCTTCTCAATCATTTTATTGTCGGAAAGCAAAGTTCCAATCTGCCCAATCGTTCTTGATTGTTTTACAACTTTCTAAAGCTTCTCTATCAAGCAGATGGAAAATTAAAAAAAATTTAAGTGAGTTGCTCAATAAACAGCCATGTTCGCTGACAATCAGTGGCCAGCACGTTATTTGTGTGCAATCATAAAGATGTGTAGACCTGGTCTTGTCCCTATCGAACACATGTGCGCTTAACTTTTGTTGTTGCTCCACATTTAGGAAATGTCACATAGATGTTTGGACTGGCTTTCCCTCTGTAATGTTGGACTAACAGGATAAACCTTGGTTTCTTCTGCCCAAGTGCAGTAATGCTTAAATCAATATTTCCCAGCACTTCTGAGCTCAGAATCCCACACCCACTGTATAAATATTAGCACATTACACATCAGGAGAGGTTCAACAAAATAATCTTTGGAAGCCTCTTACTGAACTGAATGGAATGTACAAGTCACCAGCAGATGATCTTAAACCTCATACAGTTAAGTGTTCTGCTGAGTTAACTTTCAACCTCTGTAACACAAGTATTTGGAGAGCTTCTTTGACATATGCAAGACAATTATTGGAAATATTGCAAGTGCTAAATAATATCATTGAACAATGATTTAATAATGTAGTACTGCAGTGGGGTTTTCATGTGTGTCAGTGCCTTGGACGTTCTCCCAAAGTGAAAGGTGCAATATAATGTAATTTGTTGTTGTTGTGGCAAAACATTCAGCTAAATGTCAACTCGTTCACCCTCCCCAATAAACAGGTATTTTATAAACATTTTTCATTGAAGTCACTCCCCTCTTTAAATTTAGACTATTTTTGCCACCTGCTCTTCCGTCACCACTCTGCTGCACCCTTGGGAGGTATTTGTATGGAAACATATGCAGTGCATCTTGCAGATTACTATAGTTTACTTGCTTTTCAGTGATAGCACAGGTCATATCCTCACTAGACTTTGTAATTTATAATAATTTGATCACTCATTCCACAACCGTTTGTGCTGAGCACAATTGGCTGCTGCGTTTCACCCGCAAGATAGTCAATCCGCTTTACAGTATGTATTTTGTGAAGCGCTTTGAGACGTCTCAATGACGTACTAGGGCACAATATCAAATGCAAAGATTATTATTATTCACTGGGTCCACAAACTTATTCTGAGGCTTCAGTATATTTTAGTATTTTTGCAGTGTTAATTATATTGTAGTCAATAAAACATCAGTTCCTGTCAAGTGACACTATTACAATCCTGGTCTCATGTCAGAGTGTTGCAAAATGCTCCAATTCCCACTATCACAACAAGAGCTGCACTTACACGTGGCAGCATACATTTAGGTAATATTCTCGTCATTGGGAATGGAACACAAAAATTGTAGGCATTGCAAAGTGAAGCTTTGAAAGGCACGCCTTCCCCAAAATAGTTTAATCAATGACTGGGAGTGTGTTCAAAGCTGTGCATTCTTTCAGAGTTTGCTCATAATTATGCCCCACCTTCCTCAGTCAGTGAGGAGAAAAGCAGCCAGGGTTCCTGGCTATCAAACAACCCCGATTGGAATGGGCGTCTGTGGTGCCTGAATATTCTGTCAAAGCTCATTGCCAAGGTAGGGTATAGGATGGCGACCTGTGCCTTTCAAAACTGTTAACACAGCAAGTGGAGAAAGGAGTCAACCCACTGCAGGAGAACGGGGGAGAAAATAAAGTTGTTCAGGCTCAAATCTGGGCAATTATAATAGGTGCAATACATTGTCTGCAAATATATACTATTCGACTGCACCTAATTTGAGTCCTCTTTGTGCAAATATTAAACCAGCTGGTTCAATTAGCACATGCAAACTAGATTGCATATTTGTGTCACTCTGCAAGCCATTTATTCAATATGAGCCAGAGTTAGATCATTATGCTTAGAAGCCAGTGTGATCAGTGAAGAACGTGTATTTTTATAGTGCATTTTAAGGTCAAATTAGCTCATAAGTTATCATTGTCAATGGACATTGACCATTCTTATAGATAAACATGGCAGCTACATTGAGCGCAGCAAGGTTCCCTAAAAAATTATGACCAATTAATAAATAACACTTGCACTTGGAATAGCATCTCATCATGACATCAAAATGTATCAAGGTGCTTCACAAGAGCAAATTGATCTTATGGTAAAGTGTATGACTGAGTAATTGAAGGCTAATCACTAATTTGGAAGACTTGGCCACAGCACAAGGCAAAGTGCCCTTCTCTTTGCAAATTAAATCTTTAACAAAAAGACAGCACCAATGATAAATGCAGGGCTGGCCTTGTACCAGGATGGAGTGTCATACCAGCCTGCTAGCAAATATCCCAATGTGGAGCGTGAATCTAAAACACAAAGGCAAGAGTGCAAACAACAGATCCAGGTAGATACAGGAGAATGACTCAATCACAAGCAGGTGACAGGAATCAGACTTGGTTCCGTATGTCAATAAAGATAAGCACAATCTTGCCGGTGCTTTGTTGTTCCAGACACTGTTTTCCTGAGAACCCTGAGAGTGGGAGTTTCAGTTCTGATGATATTAAAACATTCACATCTCCATTTTGTCCAATAAAGCTTAGTTACTCCTGTTTGAGCATTTTGCATCATCAGAAATTCTGGGCACACAGATTATTAAGTTGGCATTCCACTGATGGACATGGTTTACAGGCTGCAAAAAAACTGATATCAAACTATAATGCAACCCATTCCCTGAAACTGCCTTTCTCTTTGCAAATCACAGTCAATTCACTTTACAGCACATTCTGTGAAGCACTTTGAGACGTCCAGAAGACGTGAAAAGCGCTATATCAAATGCAAGGATTATTATTATTAAACTCCGTTGATCCAGGAATAAATAAAGCGATTTCCTGATTACTCTGGGTTATTGCTTATCGTAAGTGCACTTGATGAGGCATGTTGGGAGAGGATGAGATTGAGTTTGCTGGTTATGTCCCACTCTCTCCAACAATTAAATTTTCCTACTGATACTCATTGTCTGGTTATTTGAATGAGATACTGGAGCCTTACCAGCGTCTGTGCAGAAACAGCAGTTGGGATATAGAGGAAGGAGAGACGAAAGCTCTTGTGATTTTATACCTGGCTACTCTGTACTTCCTCCTTCCTCTTTTCAAACAAAGGGGATTTGTGGAAATCTGGACCTCTCTTCCCCAAAAGGCTGTGGATGCTGGATCAATTTGAATTTTCAAGGCTGATGTGATTAGATTTTTATTACAAAAGGATATACAGGAGCATGATCTAATACAACGGCGGAATAGGCTCAAGGGGCTGAATGGCCTACTCCTGTTCCTATGCCCAGGAGATTCTTTGCAA